TCTGCCCCCTTCTCCCCACCCTTACCCCGGGGAGTCGTTCCCCTTACCCTGGGGCGTCATGCCCCACTACTCCGCCCTCCATCCCCGGGGCGTCATGTCCCCCCCATCCCCGGGGAGCCATACCCCGAGGACACCCCAACCCCCCACTAATGTTTATATTCAAATACAAAGCCCATTAAAATGAACAAAATGCAAGTATTCAAAAAATTAAACAAGAGTAAAAAGAATAAAATACAAGTATTCAAAAAATGAAACAAGATTCTTCTTGTTTCTCCTATTAAGAAGAATAAAATACAAGTATTCAAAAAAGCAAACAAGAGTAACATATATGTTCTACTATTTGTTCTTGTTTCTCTTATTAAAAAGAATAAAATACAAGTATCCAATAAAATCAAACAAGATTATTCTTGTTTCTCCTATTAAAAAGAATAAAATGCAAGTATTCTAAAAATCAAATAAGATTCTTCTTGTTTCTCCTATTAAAAAGAATAAAATACAAGCATTCAAAAAATCAAACAAGACATGTCTCTTTTAATGTTTCTTCTTGTTCCTCCTATTAAAAAGAATAAAATACAAGTATTCAAAAAATCAACAAGAGTTGCCCTTCTTCTCTTTGTACTTCGTGTAACTCTTTGAAGTATTAGTTTTTTTCATTGTAAAGCTTCACCTAAAATCTTTATTGTTTTTTCATTTAATTAAGTTAATCTAAGTATTCAAAGTTACAATTAATCAAAACAAAATAACTAAATACAATCTAATAATCAAGAGAGAGATAGAATGAGTTTGGGCCATTCGGGATTTAACTTCCAGAAATATTGGGCTAGTTTTATTTCCCTTTTTAGTTTCATTTGAAAAGCTTCTGTTGATTTGGGCCTCTTTTCAGTTGTATATGGATCAAGCAAATTATTGAAGAAGTAACCGGAATCCTGCTCCCCATTGACTTCACTGAGAGTTTAGACGTACCTGAAGATGCAAGTAGCTGCACATGTATATTTGTCATACGAAAATCAGATTATCAACTGCTTCATAAAACAACAAAAAGATATGCATTGCTCAATTGTAACTTTTTTATTACCATTCGAATATTTGCTGCTGAAGCAGCACTCAATTTCTTATCAAGTCCCTTCTTGGACCCCTGCTTTGCTAATGGCTTTCTTGAGTTTGTAAGATCAGTGAGAGCTTTCCTACCACCCTTGTCATGTACTTTAGCAAAGTTATATTTCGTCTCAGCAGTAAATTTGTCTTTGGTGGCATTAAGATATTTCCCGATGGAAATCACACTCGTGTAGTTTTTCTTTGATGCCTGAAGAGAAGAAGACTTTGCTGAGTTTGAGATGTCATTAAGTGTTTTTCTTCCACCAAGTCCTCCTCCTTTCTTCAGGGCTTTGTAAGTATCATTCTTTCCAAACAAAGAAGCACCTGTGAAAAATAATTTTTAGTGAACCAACAGAAGTATATCATAGCATTGTACTCTCAGGGTTATGTAATGAGGTTTCTACCATCAAAATCTATATTGATATTCTGATCTTGAAGCATAGCCATGTTTTCGTGTCCCAACAGAATTTGGATAAGATCCTGCACCATGTAAATGAGGTTATAACATGAAATGAGAGCAAAACATGATTGATCACATACAGAAAGTACAAGCGAAAACAACAAAGAATTGAGTGATGTAAGCATCAAAGAATTTTATGTTGCATTTTGATTCAGTGTGTCTATATTCTCTATTCAATCACTTAGAATAATATATGCAGTGGTAGCAAGAAACAGAATTATCAAAGATCAAAAAAGCTAGTAATTGCTTTCCAAGATAAGCAGTTCAAATTCTGCCCAAAGGGCATATGAAAAGAAAAGATTCTCTATAATGTGGCACCAGCAATTGCCATCTTCAAGAGGGCAACTAAATACAGTTACAACACTATTGAAGACATAGTTTGTTTGCTTAAAATACCAGATCATCTAGTTTTGCAACAAAGAAAAGAAAATTATATACAAGAATCAAAGCTTAAATAACATGACTTTATCCATGTACTATGAGTTTGTAAAATATATTTGATAGAATGATTCAATATGTATAAACTCTATACCATTTACTTTGCAGTAATAGCAAGAAACATAACTATCAATCCCGGAAAGAGGGTAAGAAGAAGATGCCCAAATATAATGTCAAACAGGGAGTCATTTGGCCATAACGTTTTTATTCACTTTTTTTTCCGATTGACCATGAAACTTCCAATTAAGCGGCATACATGTTGGAGTGTACTCTAGCAGGAGTTTCATGCAAAATGGCACTTAGAATCCTAAGTATGGTTTGTGTTTTTCCAGTCCCTGGTGGACCCTAGAGTAATGAACTTTGTTAAATACTTAACTCTATTAAAGTTCTAACTTTCTGGTTAAGAAGCATCAATGAGACTAGATTAACTTGAATATCAATCACTGCCTTTTTTAATTTTATACACTAATCTCTTTTTATGGTAATTTTGATACATTAAAGTATTTTTCACGGAATAAATAAAAACAAACAATTGAGCACTGAGCAGCTGCACTCGTCGTGGCTTTTCGAGATACATACATACATAAATCATAAAATAGTACACTTGAAAGAGCATTAAGAAAAGGCCTATTTTGTTTATACAACCTAAAAAATAAATGGAAAAGTCAAACTTGTATCAACACAAATGCCTGCAAAGAGAAATGTTGAATGAGAAAAATGTATGCTAAGTTTTACATGACTGAGAACTACTAATAGGTCATCAAGGGGGACAGAAGCACTGAGTAGTAAAGATTTCTTACAGGTTTACTGATGACTGCACCCCTAATGTAAGGCTGGTTAAGCATATTTAAGTATACCAACATTTCTCATAGCACTCATCGACTTAGTTATCACATTGTTGTACATTATATCTATTTCATTCACAAGTGGAACAGATACTAAAAGCTTCAAAGTGACTGATATAAGATTAGTGAACAGATCTTCTTCAGGCAATTTTTAGAATAATAGAAATTTCATGTTGTAAAAGCACAAAAGGAGCAGAGAAGTATCCTATAATTTGTAAATTCAACAATCAGGTAATGATATTCATCATAGCAACACCACAACAACTTGTGTGAGAAGAAATCTGTACATAAAAAATAGTGTATCGGTGTTTAGAATGCGCAACACAATCTCGTCGAGCGTAGAATTTGACGGAGCACAAACTAGAACACAAACACGATACTTCCGACTGGAATTGACTACTTCTAGTTTCTAGAAAATAAGTTTAGTGTAAGAGGGCGCAAATTTAAATCTCATATCATTATGATGGACAACATTAAACATACCAAGTCATTGCCAGATGTAGAGAAAAATCCATCATCCTCGTCTATTGGCATTTCTTGGTCTAGAGGATTAATCCCACCTAACCATGGAGATGTTTGTCCCCAGTGTTTGTATCTGCAAAGTTCAAATAGTTTACCCTACGAGATATTCAAAAGGAACAAGGTCTTAAAGAGATCTGGAAAAGGAATCCTTTCCACAATTCTGAACTTTGATTTTATACAGATTATGCATGTATCTCAAAAAAGCATTAGTAAAATATGGGAGACAAGTTGTCAATAACCAACAAATACACCTATAAACAGTATAGATCACACAGCCAATAAAATCCAAAAGAATACACCATTTTTCGCCCAGGTTCTCCATCCATCCAGAAAGAAGGAAGATTCAACTGCTAGAGTTGCTGGGTTATGGTTATTATATTACTTAAGTACTTAAGGTTTGTTTCAAGATCAGATCGCTACAATTCCCTTTAATCTAACAAGAAAAACCCTAGAATAACTCCATATGAAGAACCAAAAATCAAATTTAAATTCTGTTTTCAACTTGAACCCTAAAATAGAAGAAACCCAAATGTACAAGATTCAAAAATTTAACATAGTTCCATAGTAGTTAGATGGAAAAAATTATAATTTTTCTCAGGGATTAAAAACAGGATGATAGATAGCAGAAGAACACAAAAAACTCACAAAATAGAGAAATTTACAGCCTTCTTCGAAGAATTTGCACACAAGATTATCAAGCTTTCTTCTCAGTATGTTGGATGATTTCTCAAAACTATTTTGTGTTTTTTCGTCATAGTTTTGGAATTAAAAGAACAGCGAAAGTAAATATACAGGGACGATCGCTCCCAACGGTCATATTTCGCCACCTTTTACTAAATTGCCCTTCTTTTACCTGTTAATTACAAGAATGGTAACTAATTACAAGAATGGTAATTATGTGGTGTTTGGTATTGAAGAGAGATATTTTAACAACATAGTTTTTCTAATATTTGACATGGTAACTTTTAGGCTTCGCATTATTAGGGTCAGGCTATTAGATAATGGCTAAACACGTCTAAATCTATGTTGTTTAATCCTCTTCTCATTCATTACTTCTTTGGTCCGGCAAGTAGGAATGAGGGGAATTCTAATGTTGGCCACCGTTAAAAAGCATTCAAAACGAAATGATTAACAATACATGCATAAAAATCATTCACGAATCACTTTGTACATAAACTTACTTTAATAAGTCATCATGGTGCCCACAACCTTAGTTATGAAATTTAGCTACTCATTATCTCTAAGAACACAATCAAAATTTACTAAAATCAAAATCATTTAAGTATTCCCTCGTGTACATAAACTTACTTTAATAGTTGCATTCCCTCGTGTACGTATTTTATTCCTCAACCTCCTGTTTTTTCGTCTCCCTTGATTAAGGTTATCAACTTGATAGAGGTCAGAGTACACATGATTATAAGAATTTAGGCTATTACAAATTACAACTATCCCACTTAAGAATATCATGCTCCATTTTGCAAGCAAGGGTGTAGCTTAGAGAATAATGAAATGGGTGATAACTATAAGGTCTCGGATTCAAGAGACGAAACCACTAAGTGATTTCTTTTCATCTGTCCTAGCTAGCCTTGGTGGATAGAGTTACACGGTCCATGTTGCTGGTGGGAGGTATCCCTTGGAAATTAGATAGAGTGTGTGCAAGTTGGCCTGGACACCAGAATTATTTTACAAAAACAATATCAAGCTCTTTGTAATAGCGAATCAATATGCCAACTTATTATACAAGGTAACTTGACAGAAGGAGGAGACCTCTTCACAAGCAGGTTGTCTAAAACTACTAAATAATTTTTTCACCTCTTAAATTACATGAGCTCAAATAATTCAAATATTATCCATTCACTAGTGCTTTTAGGGGTCATTTGGTAGAAAGATTGATAATGCAGGGATTATTTTTTATCAAGTGTTTGGTTCATTATTTCCCATCTAATCTTGTGTATGCATGGTTTAAAACTCTACAAGAAGCTTCTTTCTAATTATATCCTTGAACTATTATAAGATATTTATTTCATGTATAGCTTCAGTGCATTCTATTGGCCAATATTACTCATCACATTATCCTCTCACATATGACTATTTCTAGAAATGAATTGTTAATAGTCCCCAATATTTGTATCGGATGGTTTTGACATTATTTAAGTGATACATCACATGATTTAAATACTGAGGGTTTGATAAGTATATTTAAGTTTCTAAATTTGATAGAAGTTCATTCATAGTAAAAAGGGAAAACCAACTATTTTATATTCTTTCTTATACCGAACGTCTACAAAACAAAAACCATTTAAAAGAAAGTACAAAATGTTGAATACATATAAACACTTGCATGTTTGTGACTGAAAATTTTCTTTTTATCCTTTTTCTTCTCTTGAACCCTTCACTTGAAAGAAAACCAACTAGTCTATTTCAATTTCTAATGTACATTTTGTCAATTTTCAGCTGAATGTCTCTCAAAGTGAGAGAGTCTTTCTATTATATAGAGAAAATAAAGATTACACATCCCTAAAGATCCGCCATTCCTATCCCTAAAGATCATCTATTCTATCTATACAAATCTGCCATTGAATCCCTCTAAATCTGCCTTGCTATCCCTCCAAATCAGCTATTCTATCACAATATTTATTCATATGATTCTACAACAAATGTATATGATCATGCTAATTTATATCACTATATAATTACATTAATATATACAATCATTTAGTTGTCTATCATGCTAACA